CAAGACCGACTGTTCGTAACGACGGTTTTCTAGTTTTTTTTTTTATTTACTCTCTCGTTTGACACCCAGCAAACATATTTATAGTGATGGCTGCTTTGCTTAAGTGTCATTCTCTATTACCAGATTATTCGTGGTTTAATTATTTAAATATAACTTACCCCGTCTTAGTCTCTCGTTCTCTCTCTCTCTCTCTCTCTCTCTCTCTCTTTCTTCTTTTATTAACACTTTCTTTTCTATTTCTTCTCACGTTCTCTATCATGTATATACACATTTTGTTACTTCGTCATGTACCGTATACACATTGGCTGTAGATAACTAACGTAACATAACATTTTTGGTTGTAGTAGTAGTAGTAGTAGTAGTAGTAGTAGTAGTAGTAGTAGTATTAGTAGTTATAGTAGTAGTAGTTGTAGCAGCAGTAATATTGGTAGTAATAGTAGTAGTAGTAGTAGTAGTAGTAGTAGTAGTAATAGTAGTTGTAGTGGTAGTAGCAGTAGTAGTAGTAGTAGAAGTAGTGGCAGAAGTAGATTTTTCAAGGTCATTTTTGCAGTATTAGTTATATCGTTGTAACTTGATATTCTTGGACGGTTTGTTTTTATAGAATTTATTTTTTGAAGATTAGTTTTTGTTTCTGTTTGATGCAAATTACATTAATTAAAATATTCATTTGTTCATTCATTTATGCATTCATTTGTTCATTTGTTCGTTCGTTCGTTCGTTTATTCATTCATTCCTTTTAGCAATTTTGTGTTTAATGATAATTAAAAGGTAGGAGAGGACATGTTGTTAACACTAAAATACACAGAACAAGTGAACAATCCTATCAACCATTAATGAATAGACGATTTTTTTTATCTAAATTAACTTTCAATAATAATAATTATTATTGTTATAATTATAATAATTATAGTATAGCAACATTAAAAATAATAAATAATGATGTTTCAGTTAAAAAAATTGGATGAAAATTTGTCTTAAATAGTATGAACAGCCATATATTTGCAATCACAAAAACTGCGGTTGTATATATGCGCGTCTGCGTATGTGTGTGTGTATGTGTGTGTTTGTATGCATGTGTGTTATAAGTGTGTGTTTGTATGCATGTGTGAGTATATGTGTTTGTATGTATGTAGGCGTGTGCGTGTGTGTGTGTGAGTGTGACTGTGTGCTTTGATAAGTCGGAATACTGTTCCACGGTGTTGTAGCTGGGCAAGAATTGGGTTCGAATGCAAATAGTTCCCTGCCTGTAATATGCAACGCATGGTCTTACACACACGTATCCACACACACACCACACACACACACACACGGACATGCAGACATACAAACAGACACACACACATGAACGTATTATTATCGAGCATAATATGAAAGAGATTTTAGGATAAAATAGCACATAAAAATAACTGCTCACAGTTGCAACGACAGTTCTTATCTTAATACTTATACTATGTAAACTGGAGATATTTTTTTACTAAAACCAACTAAATTTGTAAGTTTTAGTAAAATATGAAAAAATAAATAAATATAAATAAGTAAATATGTATGTATAATATATTATTTAAATAAATGAATTATATATTTGTTGATGTTATTATTGTTCAAGAGCGTGTTATAAATAATGATCCATTCGTATTCAGAGTCGTGAGCGAAAGAGAGAAAGAAAGAAAAAATGAGAGTGAAGAAAGAAAAGAGAGAGAAAGAAAGATAGATAAAGAGAGAGAGAGAGAGAGAGAGGAAGAAAGAAAGATGAAGAAAAATTCATTACTAAGTCAATATATCACTTGAAAACACAGTAAGAGAATGAAGTTCTAAATAGAAAAATATAGATAATTACATAGAAAGAGAAAGAAAGAGAGAAGGAGAGAGAAGGAGAGAGAGACAGAAAAAGAAAGAGAGAGACAGAAAGAGAGATAGAGAGAGAATGAAAAGAAAGTAAGTGCTTGTTATCGAGAAAAAACCTATATCGTAATTGACGGTCTGACTGAACCGACGTCACTCAGAAAACAACAAATCGTTCGTGACGATGATGATGACGACGATGGTGATGAAGAATAAGATGATGATGAAAATGAAGAAGAAAAAAATAATGATGATGACGAAGGCGATTATTGTGATGACGATGACGACGAGATGATGCTAATG